GGTGGAGCTAGAATTTCAACCCATTTCTCCTCTGACTAAATTCAGACCTCCTTCTTTTGGCCCACACTCCAACGAAAATTAAGATAAATCTGTATATATGCTGAAAACTTGGATCTGGCTTCTGCCTTTTATTACTTTGATGTAGTGCAGAGGACACTCATTGGACTGGGGGTTGGTGACCCAGCTTCAAGGCTGGGTCCAGCCAACTGTTGGATGATTTTGGGCAAGTCACCTTAATTTCCAGATCCAGCAGCTATAAAATAAATGCTGGGTGGGGTGGGGTGGGATGGAGCAGTGGAACTTTAAATAGCTCAGGGGTTCTTAATCTTTTTTGATATCATGCCTCTTCTTGGCAGTCCGATGGGTGACTTCTCAGAATATTTTTAATAAATGCATAAAATAAAGTACATAGGATTACAAAGGAAACTAATTATGTTGGAATACAGTCATCAAAATATTTTTCCTGTCCTGGTTCACAAGCTCTCTGAAATCCATTCTTTGGACATCAGGTTAAGAACCCTTAGTTTTAGGAGTAGCTAGGTGGTGCAGTGGATAGAGCATGGGCCCTGGAGTCAGGAGGATCTGAGTTCAAATCTACCCCCAGACACTTATTATCTGTGTGACCTGGGCAAGTTACTTAACCCTGATTGCCTTAAAAAAAAAAAAAGAAAAAAATCTCTTGGTCTTCAGGGCAACTAAATTTCCTTTCTGAAAACCCTGCAGGAGAGCCATAGTAAATATAAAATCCTAATGACTTTAGATAAGGACCCTCAATTGTATATTGTTCACCTTTTTCTCACCCTGATCGCTGAGTCTTCCAAATAGCAACAGTTTTTATGTTGATGAAATCCTTCTGTCCTCTATGAGACCTTTCCTTATTGTATGCATTGTGTTATTCTGTTCCAGGAGGCTGTTTAATTTTGTTTTATTGTTCTAGCATAGCTCCCCACATGATGCTGTCCCATCAGTGATAAAGCCCCCCCCCCTTTTTTCTTGGCTGTACAACTGTTTGACTCCTTGGTCAAGCCTGATTTGAAAGTCTATAGTTACAAGACAATGTGCTGAACAATGTAATCCTATTCCAAGTAAACCTGCATATAATAAAATTACAATGTTACCTCACACTTCCATAACACTTCTAAATTTATCAAATGTCTTCCGAACAATCCCACTAGTCCATGTCTTATTTTCATTTTGTAGATGAGGAATTTGAGTTTCAGAGAAGTGAAGTGAGTTAGCCAACATCATACAGCTGCTAAGTGTTGAGTCTGGAAGTTCAGTGTTCTTTCCATTCTCCCATACTGACTCTCACAGTGGGGAATGGATCATAGTGGATGACTTTTAGGAGCATAGAGCGGGGAGAGTTAAGAGATCTCAAGCCCTTAATTTTACTGGTATGGAACTTGGGATCAGTGAGATTATATCAGTCAGTCAGTCATTCATCAACCAGTTATGGTGGGTAGAACACTGGCTATCTCCAGGAGAAACAGAGAGCTGAAGTCTAAGTACCTACCTTTAGGAAATTTATAGTCTGGTAAAGGGAAAAGACATGAAGATAGAAAACTGACTTAAGGGATGTATAAGGACGCCAGAAAGGTGCTAAGTGAAGTATCCTCTGTAGTCCAAAGGGGGAGGTCGCTGCTGACCAGGAGAAACAGCGAAGGCTTCAGTGGAAGGCACAATTGAGACTGCATCTCCCCCCCCCAATCCATTGCCCCCTTTCATTGCTCTTTAAATTCATAAAGCAACAGGGGTGGATGAACTAAAGTATTTGGATGAGTCAGACAAAAGCAGTTTTGGCAGAAATTTGACTAGAAACTCTTTTTGTCCATCCAATGTAAGATGTCCTTACAATCCAGGTGGGTCTCCAGGCTACAGATATGCCCTGGAGATATATGGGCAGTGCTGACTCAGGGATTAATTTACTTCTGGATTGAATTGAATCATGCTGTATGTTGTGCTTTGTAACTATCGATTGTTGCCCGTCAGGAAGAGGTTATATTTTACTCCACAGAACACAAATGTTTTTTTTTGGGTGGGCGTCTGGCCAACTGTTTAGGGGATTTCCAGCTGTTGTTCTTGTAAATGATGACTGCAAGATAATAAAGCATGATTGTCACCCATATGGTTCTTGGGAAAATGGACATGTTCTGGCATGGTGCTTAGATTCCAAAGACTCTTCTTACAAGAGATAGATCTGAGAAGCTGGAGAGAGTTATTCCTGGTTTTTTTTTTTTCCTGTGGCTGGTCTATAGCCCAAATTGCTTAGAAAATGGTGCTAAAGAGATGAATAGGTTTGATCACTAACTCGACCAGTTGGCTTTATTCTGTTCTTGTATTTTGGTTATACGGCCCTGGTCCTGGCCAGCCACCTTCCAGGTGCATATGACTGGTATTATAAAGATACAGAAGAGACAGGTATTTTTAAATTATAATCAACTTATTCATCCAGCAGTTCTATTCAGCAAATGTTTAAGAAGTCATTACTATGTGCAAAAACGGTGTGCCAGGGGGCATCTAGGTGGTGCAGTGGATAGAGCACCAGCCCTGGATTCAGGAGGACCTGAGTTCAAATCTGGCCTCAGACACATAACACTTACTAGCTGTGTGACCCTGGGTAAGTCACTTAACCCCGTTATCTAACCATAAAAAAACAAAACAAAGCAAACTGGTGTGCCAGACCCTGGAAATACAAAGACAAAAATGAAATAATTCCTGCCCTCAAGGAGCTCATATTCTACAGGTGGGAGGCAGGGGCAATATTAAATGTACACGATTAAGTAAATGTAAAGTAAATGAAATAATTTCAAGAAGGAGAGAAAACTAGCAATTGGGTGGGATGGAGTAGGGTGGCACCATGTGAGTTGAATGGATGCACAGACATCTCTGTCTTAAAGTCACCCTGGTCAGTGTTGTGTTTTTAATAAACATGATTAATACATTATAACCAACTCCTAATGTAAGATCAGTCTACAGAAATAACAAAGTCCTGGGTCTGAATCTTAGCTCTGCTCTGTACTGGCTGTGTGATCTTGGGCAATATGCTTCACTTCTCTGGGACTTGGTTTCCTTTTACGTGAAATGATGGCTTTGGATGAGTTCCAAAGTCCCTTGCTGCTCTGAATCCTATGATCCTATAAATTGTGACTGCAGCATTTGCTGGTTTTGTGAACCTAGGCCAATTATGCCACCTCTTTGAGCCTCAGTTTCCTCAGATATAAAATGGGAATAATAATACTCACACTCCCTACCTAATAGGGTTACTATTAGAATAGCATTTTGTGAATATCCTAGCATTATGTAAACATGAATCAGTATTACTGTTGTTATTGTTCTAACGGAATTGACTCCCCCTGTAGTAATGTGTCACCTAATGTTTTCTTTTGAGGAGAATTAAAGATGATAGGTAGGATATGATATTATTGGGAGAGAAAAAAAAAACAAACTCAAAATCTCATGTTCTACCTATGAGATCAATGGTATCATTTTGGTAAGTCAGGGACAACATTTCATTCTATTTCTGAATTATAATCATCTAGTAATTCTATTCAGCAAACATTTATTAAGCCACTATTATGTCCAAAACATTGTGCCAGAACGCAAAGACAAAAATGAAATTATTCCTGCCTTCAAGGAGCTTACATTCTCTGGTGGGGTGGGATATTACATGTGCACATAAGTAAATAAATGTAACATAAAAAAAGTAATTTCAAGAAGGATAGATCACTAACAACTGAGTGAGGTTCAGGAAAACTCTTCAATAGGAGGAAGCACCTGAAAGATGCTCGGGCTTCTCCTAGGTAGAAGCAAGGAGTGAATGCATTAAAAAAAGATCATTGGATCTCAAATTTAGAGGTGAAAGGGACCCCAGAGGCCACTGAGTCTAATGTTCTCATTTTACGCTGAGGAAACTGAGCCCCAGAGATGTTGGGTGACTTGTCCAAAATCACACAGGTAGAAAGGTGGGATTAGTGTTGGCAGACTTTGGGGTTTTTCCTCTGTAAGTATGAAAGTAGCTTTTCCATTTCCTGGTCAGAGTGGCCCACAGGGTTGTATGGGGTGTTCAGGGAGGTTGAACACCAATGATGTGAGCCCTTTGCGGGGCTGCTCATCTGCCTTTGATATCTACCTTCACCCAACACTCACCCATGGTTCCAAGAAGTCGTAGTATGCACAATGGCCACTCAGGTAAAACTGTCTAAGGGGCAGAGAGGCTAAAGCAGGTTGAGAATAACTGACATATCTCAAGCCCATTGGTGAGTTGGGGGCAGTGTTTACTCCAGACATGTGAAGATGTTCCCCTCAACCCTCACTGAATGGGCTGATGGCAACAGTTTGTTCCAACGGCCATGAGGGCAGCTGAAGCAGGTGCGGTGGAGTGCTTAGAGCTTGGTCAGCATGGAAGACGCCAAGGTCATCCACTGCATCCCAGGCCATCACCAGTTGTCCTGACTTTTGTCCTGACATTGGCTGTCCATGACTCAGGAAGAGAGAGTGAGGCTTATGACTTTGTGCAACTGGCTGTCACTTAAATCCAATTCACACAGAAGTCAAGACATCACCCAGGACATCACCGGTCCTTTGAAAATGAAGGACTAACAAAAATAGCAACAGTAACAACAAAGTGGATTGGAATATTTGGACTTTGCTTTTGTCTATATTTTACTACAAAGCTGATAAAACCTGAAAAATTAATTTTTTCCTTAAAAAAAAATCAAGAGAATTTTCTTACATTTGGATGCTTGGAATTATGTAATTTGTAATAGTGGTGATTAAAAATCAGATTTCTTGTTTTTACTGAAGCATTTGATGTCATAGAGCCAACAACTGCCTCCTCCCTCCGTTGACTTCTCAGGTTTCTGGATTCTCCCTGTTCTCTGATGAGGGAAGCTTATATGTTTCTAGCCCCCATTTTCTAATATGGCATTTCTTGGTTGTTAGAACGCCTGGGAAGGAGGAAACTGTCTGGGAGTACTTGATCTTTGATTTCTTTCCTTTAGGATGTGTGACAGAAATAGCGGTAGACGGCTCCGGCAGTGGCTGATTGAACAAACTGACAGTAATATGTATCCTGGGCTCATCTGGGAAAATGAGGAGAAAAGCATGTTTCGGATCCCTTGGAAACATGCCGGCAAGCAGGATTATAATCAGGAGGTGGATGCTTCTATTTTCAAGGTATGGAGAGGCATTTCTTTCCTAAAGAAATCTGCCTGAATTGTGATCACTTTTCAATTTAGTGGGCGGGTTGAAATGTTTAATGATTAATTTTCTTTAAGTTCTTAAGTCTTCCAGTTGCTTTAAACAGAGTCCAGAAATTCAGAAATAACATTTTCTCTTATCTCCTTCTGTATTATATCTGTGGCATATATTTTGACACCAAGGATCTATCATTTCATGCATATGTTGGTATTCCCCACCTCTCCCCACAAACAGAGATGGCCACCCGTCCTTGTTTTCTTATCTTGTGTGATTCTTGTTTATGTGTTTCCCCAAATCCTTCATGGAGGACCCATCTACTATGCTAGAAGACTTCCTTTGATTCTGTTCATGTTTCATACATTCATCTGTTATCCGTTACTCCTATTCTATGAACAATCTCCTGCTTTTCTAATTATTATGCCCTTGATGGTGGGCTAGCAAAAAAAAACACTGAGAAATATTTCTTGGTTCCTAACCTAAAACCCGATACTATACATTTGAATTATTTTAGTGCTAACCAAGAATGCCAGATGAATTCTAAATGTTTGGTTTCTTCACTGAGTCAGTCCTACAACAGATATATATATATATGTGTGTGTGTGTATATGTATATGTGTGTATATGTATATGTATATATGTGTATATATGTATATGTATACATACATATATGTATATATGTATGTGTATACACCTACTAAGTATAAGAAAAAAACATTATTCAGTAATAATAGCTCTTGTTTATGGGGAGCTTAAGGTATATAAAGTGCTTTATAAACATTACTCATTTAATCTTCACAACAACCCTGGGAGTTAAGTGTTACTATTATCACCATTTTATAATTAAGGAAACTGATAAAGATGGAGGTCAAGCAACTTAAGAGTCACAAAGCTAGTAAGTGTGTAAGACTGGATTGGAACTCAAGTCTTCCTGATTCCAGGCCTAGCACTCAATCTACTGAGCCACCTAGCTACCTGGCTTAGTGTTAGAGGACCAGTGTTAAGAGTCAGGAAGACCTTGCCTCCTGTCTGGTTGAGTGACCCTAGGCAAGTCATTTAACCATGTTTGCCTCAGTTTCCTTGTCTATAAAATGAGCCGGAGAAGGAAATGGCAAACAACCCACTTAGTCGCTTGGTGCTTCCAGATAGCCTACGATTATTAACTTGCTGAGCAGGTGTGGGTCTGTATTGATAGAGAGAGTTTCCCACCTTGGAATTCCCTATATCAATAATATCTTATCTGTGGGGGAAAAAAAGTAAAGTCTTGTGTTAGACTGTCTCAGATACAAAAATGAATGAGATATGGGCTTATTTTCTAAGGTTCTTGAGCCATAGTTAATAAGATTCATATGATTCTAATTCATAAGATCGTGGGATTTGTCCTTGACTAAGATTTCTTTGCCTGTTTTTATATCAGCAGTGCTAATCCATATTTCTTTAGTGCTTTACAATTTATTAAATGATTTTCATATAAGACCTTATTTGCATCTCACAACTGCTCTGTGAAATAGTTACTGCAAATAATATTATTCCCATTATACAGATGGAGAATAAGAGGCTCATGGAAGTTAAGCCATGTGTCTAAGGCTGCACAGACATTATAGGTGAGAGAGGTGGAATGTGAATTCATGTCATCTGACAGCTATTACTCCACATAATGATTAATAGAAACATGTAGGATGAATCTGTGTGCTTTTACTATTTTGTTGGCTTAATAATCAACTTTAAAATCACTTAAAATCAATATTTATTATAGTGTTTTCTATAATGTTTTTGTAACTTTCACATAATATTTTAAGATTTAAAAATTGCTTCTCTCACTGCTAGCTTGGGAGGTAGAGAGTGAGAGTATTTCAATCCCCATTGACTTTGCCTAAGATAACACAGGTAGCCAGGGAGAGAGCTGGTACATGAACCCAGGTCTTCTGACTCTTTTGTACTTCCCCTAACTACATCATCCCTTTTGTAACTTGGATTCAGTGGGGCTGGATGACTTCTAACGTCCCTTCTAGCTCTGCCGTTGTCCTTCTGTGAACCATACCCCGAGCTCCGATTAAGAGTCAGGGCACAGACCCTTTGGGCCAGTGTTCCAGAGATTGTTTAGCCACAGGTAAAGGAACAAGTATGAGAATATAAGGTAGCATCTTTAAGCCAGATGGGGGATATGGAGCATGGAGAATGTCAATTACTGGCTTTCAGAGCACATGACAAATTGTAAGTGAAATTCGCACAGAATCCATCTGGATCTCTTAGTTCTCACCTCTCCACTTACGTTATCACTGCACGTTTCCTAGCCAGCTCTCTCAACAAGAAGGAATCAGCCCCTTTTGTATGTCCTGGACCCCTTTGGCAACAGATTGGTAAAACCTATGGACTCTTCAGAAGAATGTTTTTAAATACGTAAACCAAAATACAGAAACAAAATACAGAGGATTACAAAAGTGACCAATTACATTGAAATAGTTATGAAATGTTAAATAATAATAATAGCTAGCATTTAAGTATCACTTTAAGGCTTGCGAAGCTCTTTACAAATATCTCATGCAAACATAAATATTGTATTATACAATACAATATATAATGCCATATATTGCACAATGTGTTATACAAATATAAATATTTATTATACAATACAAAATACATATGTCATACAAATATTATCTCATATTATTCTACTTGATACAAGGCCATGGACCTCAGGTTAAGAATCCCAGCTTTACAATAGCAATATAGCAACAAACAGTTGTTAGCTCTACTGTGTGTAGGGGGCCTGTATTGGGCATTGGAAGCTATACAGAGTTTACATGAGATATTGTTCCCTGCCCTCAAGGAGATTATAGTCTACTGGGTCCATTCAAATGCCAGTAGCCATTTCCCTGTTCTGAATAGTAGCATTTTATGTTTGGTTGTAGGCATTTCTGCCAGTGGAACTGGGTTGTATTCCTTTATGGAGCTGAGCTGAGGTCTAAGCACCAAGTTAGATTATATCGGTCCAATCTTTAACCAATCAAGAATCATTGGTTTTAGAGCTGGGAAGGGATTTTAGAGAGCGGTTGGTCCAAATACCATATTTTACAGATGAGGAAGCTCAGGCTGGGAGAGAGGGTGTACTTATGTTTAAACAGGAAGTAAACAGAAGAGCTGAGATTTGAACTCAGGGCCTCTGACTCCAAATTCAGGGCTCCTACCAATCCCCACTGCTTTCTGACATAACAGCTAAGGAGTAAATTGATGACCTCGGCACATCTTGCCTTCACACTGTCATATCCTTGGCACCACCCAGACAAAACATCCCGTAGACTTGACCAGATGCCTCAGTATTGAGATCTCCTAAAATAAATGTTAATACTATCTCACAGCCCTACTTGATCACAATCTCCAAGAAGGTAGTGACCTCATCCTACTGACACTTTTCCTCTCTCTCAGTGCTGAGCATTTGTAGATGCTTAATTAGTGTAGCTTGAATTGAATGAAATTTAGAAAGCATGCTTGGACATTAGTTCTTCGGATCTTCAGGGTAACCCTGGAAAGGCAGCAGTTTAAGTGTTATTGTTTTCATTTTACAGATGGGCAAACTGAGGCCTGGAGAGGCAAAAGATCATTGCTGTATTCTAGCCCCAGGTCCTATAATCCTCCCTCTCTCTGGGCATTAGTTTCCTCATCTATAAAATGAGGGGATTGAATGGTGATCTCTCGATTCCCTTTCCCCTCTGAATGTGTAGACATTATTAGGGTACAGAGGAAAGAACACTTGTTCTGAGTCAGAAGACCTGGGTTCTATGGTCTCTTCTAATCCTTGTTACTTATGTGATCTTGGGGGCAGTCAGTGAATCTTCCCAAGCCTTGGTTTTCTTATCTGTAAAATGAAATAATTGGACTCTGAGATCTCTTCCAGCTCTAAATCTATGATCTGGTCCTACTCTGTTCTTGTTATCATCATCATCATCATCATCATCATCATCATCATCATCATCATCATTATTATTTTGAGGCAATAAGGATTAAGTGACTTGCACAAGGTCACGCAGCTAATAAGTATTTGAAGTCAGATTTGAACTTGGGTCCTCCTGAAGACTGGGACTCTATCCACTGCATCACCTAGCTTCCCCTGCACCCTTTTACAGATATGGAAACTGAGGCCCAAAAAGGGGAAACTAGTCTCACATAGCTATTTGATAGCTAGATGGTACAGAGGATACAGCTCTGGACTCAGTCAGGAAGAGCTGAGTTTAAATCTGGCCTCAGACACTAGCTGTGTGACCATGGGTGAGTCTGTTTGCCTCAGTTTCCTCATCTGTAAAATGGGGATAATAATGCCTCATACCTCCCAGGGTTGTTGTGAAGTTAAAATGAGATAATATTTATAAAATTCTTTGGAAAACTTCAAGTGCTATATACATGCTGCCGTTCTCGATTAGTCACAGAGCCAAGAGCAGAATCCAGGTCCCTCGGTGCTAAATCTGTTGCTTTTCCCATAGGCAGCTAGTGCTGCCTTAAGAGCCAGAACTCAGAGGGCAATCAGAATAGAGAATGATGCCTTTAACGTTACATTTCCTTGTTGTGTCTGTTTATTAAACTATGCCAGGGTTACAGCTGCTTTCCACAATGGCTGCTGTGGTACAGAGATATTGAGAAACAGCTCTGGCCTGGCAGTATCAGGACTCCTGGACTGCCTGGACTGTCCTCTCCTAGCTTTGTGACCCTGGCCAGGTTACTTGGCCTCTCTGGGTCTCAGTTTTCTGGTTTCAAGAGTTCTTTCCAGCTCTAGGGTCACTTTTAGATATGGTGGCCACACCACCATTCCAACTCTCTAGATGAAAAGTAAAAAATTCAGTCAAACATCCCAAGGTTTGGTCCCTACGAAGTGTGGAGAAGCTAAGATCTTGAGATGGACCAGCATCGGGAAGGCACAATCCTCCTGTGAAAGCTGAATTCTCTTTCTCACAAGCTGGCCTCCTAAGTATGTTTACATTGTGATTAGGAGGCCACAGAATAGTCAATTAAACCGTTTGAAACAAAATTTCACATTCACACTTCTGCTGCCTTCTCTCTCTGTCTCTGTCTCTGTCTCTGTCTCTGTCTCTGTCTCTGTCTCTGTCTCTGTCTCTGTCTCTGTCTCTGTCTCTGTCTCTCTCTCTCTCTCTCTCTCTCTCTCTCTCTGTCTCTCTGTCTCTCTGTCTCTCTGTCTCTCTCTGTCTCCCTCTGTCTCTCTCTCTCTGTCTGTCTGTCTCTGTCTGTCTGTCTGCTGTTAGTCTCTCTCTCCCCACTGGGATTTTTGGGGTTCCTATTCATCCTGATCCTGAGGTTTGGAGAGGTAAGAAACTAGAGGCTGCCCAAAAATGAGAAAAGGGAGACAAAAATTCATTGTCTTTTTAAAATAAAGCCTGGGTGTGGGGTTGGTGGGGGGGGGGTGCTATGTAAATGCAAAACACCTTTTTGTTAAAAATAGCAGGGGGATAGATAACTAAATTAAGACTATTTGCATAGTGTCCCTTACAGGCTAAATTGTTGCCAGGGTTGGGTTTTTAAAAAAATCGATAGAGGTTCAATGTGTGAAAAACTGTCATGAACTCCAGTAACTTCCTCTTTCTGCTCTTTAACCTCAAGGGGATTAAGGGCCTTTCGTATAGGGAGAGTCTGTATTAAAAGGTGGTAGGATACTATGGAAAGAGCCCTGAATTAGGAAGCTGGAGACCAGCATTTAGATCCTGGCTCACTGTGGTTTTCATGACCTCTCTCTGCCATTGTAGCTGTTAAGTGAAGCCAGCTTTGATGCAGTGAAGAGTTCATTGGCTCCAGCAGAAGATCTGGGTTCGAGTTCTATTCTGGGTGACCTTAGGCGAGTTAGCTTGGGAGTAGTGGATAGAGAGTTAGGCTTGGAGTCAGGAAGACCTTGGTCAAAATCCTGCCTCAGACACTCGTTAGCCGTGTGACTGTGGGTAAGTCTCTTCACTTCTCGGCTTCAGTTTCCCAGTTTGTAAAATGAAGGGGCTAGACTCGATGGCCTTTAAGGTCTCTTCCAGCTCTATATGATTCTCAGTTTTCAGGGCCTCAGTTTCCCTATCTGTAAAATGGGGGGTCTAACTAGATGGACTCTGAAGTCCAGCTCTAAGTCTATGATTCTAAGTCTTCTGGGCTTCAGTTTCCTTCATATGTAAAATGAGAGGATCAGGTAGGTGGCTTCTGAGAATTCTTCCAGCTTAAATCCATGATCATCCCATAACTAGATCCTCTTTTTTTTAAAAGCTAGGCAATGGGTTAAGTGACTTGCCCAGGGTCACACAGCTAGTAAGTGTTATGTGTCTGAGGCTGGATTTGAACTCAGGTCCTCCTGAATCCAGGGCCAGTACTCTGTTCACTGTACCAGCTAGCTGCTCCCCACTAGATCCTCTTAAAGGCCCTTCCTAGCTCCATTATGGGGGAAAGCTTTTTTGTAACTGAAAGAACCTTTGGCTGGGAGCCCAGAAGCCTGGGTCCTAGTGCTAGCTCTGTCATTAATGGGCCTAGGACCTTGTACAAGTCACTTCCCCTCCCTAGGCTTTAGTTTCCACCTGTGTAAAATGGCAGAAGGGGATGTGCTGCAGGAGAGGCTCTCTAGGGTTCCCACCAGTGTATTGGGTTGGTGTTTCCATGGCAGGCACTCTTGAATGATCTCAGAATTGGCCAGTGTACTGAATGTCTCCTTCTCCTTTTTTCCCCCCCTCTTCCTTCTTCTTCTTTTAGGCCTGGGCAGTTTTTAAAGGCAAGTTTAAAGAAGGGGACAAAGCTGAGCCGGCCACTTGGAAGACTAGGTTACGCTGTGCATTGAACAAGAGCCCAGACTTTGAGGAGGTGACAGATCGATCCCAACTGGACATTTCTGAGCCATACAAAGTTTACCGCATAGTTCCTGAAGAAGAGCAAAAATGTAACTATCCTTCAGGCACGAAAGTTTTTGTTTATTGCTCTGATTAATAATGATGATGATAACTAATATTTGTGTAGCCCATTAAGGTTTGTAATAAAATTTACATAAATCATCTCATTTCATCCTCACAACAACCCCAATGGGATGTTAACTCTATTTCATCCTCCTGAGGACTGGGGCTCTATCCACTGCATCACCTAGCTGCCCCTGCACCGTGTTATTTTACAGATGAGGAAACTGAGGCCCAAAAAGGGGGAACTAGTCTATAGGCAAAAGTTAAGTGACCTGCCCCAGAGTCACACAGCTAGTAATTGTCAGGGGTTGGATATGAACTAGAAGAGTCTGTTCCTTATTCCCTTGGGGAATCTTGAAAATTGCAAAAAATGGAATGTGGTAGAAAGAGATGTGTGTCAATCACGACCAGTCTGGCCATCTTTGGAATAACACTTTTCCAGTCTCTTGGTGGCTTCTTGGGAATGACTGGACCAGACAGATGATCACTGAGGTCCTTGCCAGCTCTAAAATTCCATTACAATATTTGAGAATGAATTAAAACTTTTAACAAAAGGAAGTTTACTTTTCAGGACAATTCAGTATGTCAATTAGAATGCTGGTGCAACAGACTGGAATTTTGTCTGGGAGCTTATTAGCATCCCCCTAGAGGCTCATGACCACACCTGCCTATAGGAAATAGATTCTTTAAAAATACATTTAGCACAGAAAGTCAGCTCTGGGTCTAGACTTGGTCTTTTTACTCATGTACAGGAATCAGTGATGACTTGATTGAGGAGGGACAATACTATTGATCTGTCCTGGCTTTACAGATTCTTTTGGATCTAAACTCTAAGAAGGAAGGAGTAAATCCTAAATGCATCCAATTGCAAGGACTTCTGAATAACTTTGGGAAGCTGCCTTTTTAGCTAAAAGTATGTAGCAGAATGAGCACTGGTTTGAGAGTCAAAGGACTTGGGTTTGAATCCTGACTCTGTTACTACCTACCAGTGGGATCTTGGGAAAATCACCTAGCATCCCTGGGCCTTGGTTTCCTGATCTGTAAAAAAGAGGGAGGTTGGACTAGATCAAAGATTCTTAACCTGATGTCCATGAACTTATTTAAAAATATTTTGATAACCCAATGTCAATATGAATGACTTCTCTTGTAATCCTATTTTTTAAAAATGCATTTAAAAACATGATTCTGAGAGGGGGTCCATAGGCTTTACCAGACTGTTGCCAAAGAAGTCTGTGACAAAAAAGGGTAAGAAATTCAAGGTTAGATGATCTCTAAGGACCCTTCCAGCTCCAAATTCTATAATTTTTGAAAGGACATGACAGCAGAATCAAAAAATCCCTGGACATCTATTCGGGACTGAAACCTAGAGTTTGTTGAATTCATCACTTACTAAGAGCATGACTTTGGCCAAATCACTTGACCTCTTAGGCCACCATTTCCTGGTATATCAAATAGGGACACTGTAGACTTAAGCTTCCTATTTCACAGAGTTGTTAGGAGGAAATCACTCTGTAAGCAGCAAAAGGCTATAGAAATGCAAACTATTTTTAATGGGGAGGGGAACATTATTCTGACGTTTGAGGCTTGCAAATGTCTACAAGGAGCTGTATAAACAGCAAAGCTCCGGAAATGTAAAAAAATACCCTGTTTAAAAAAAAACAAAAAGAAGCAGATTTGGGTTATCTGGGGTAAGGAAATGAATCATTTGCATATTGTCCAAACACCCAAACTTTCTTCCCTGCTCAAGCAATTTGCAAGCCTTACCCTTGCATGTGTAAACTTCCCAGAATTTCGTACCCAAGGAAAAAAAGTGGGAGGAGGTGACAGAGAGTCTAGTGGGGAGAATTTCTATGATTCCATCCAAAGTACAAGTGATTTAAACAAAATTTAGGTTGGCTTTCTTGGTTATATGTGTTGGGCTAAATCCTGTACTTCTCCTTTTTTTTCTTTTTGGGCTAGGCAATGGGGTTAAGTGACTTGCCCACGGTCACACAGCTAGTAAGTGTTATGTGTCTGAGGCCAGATTTGAACTCAGGTCCTCCTGAATCCAGGGCTGGTGCTCTATCTACTGCACCACCTAGCTGCCCCTAAATCCTGCACTTCTCTGTAGTCCTTTATGAGTAATTAATTTTTAACAAATGCTCTGTAGAAATAAGAGAGTCTCGTTCCTACACATGACTTAGGGAGGCAGGGCAGTGTAAAACAAGGGAGTTAGTGTCTGAAGACCTGGGTTCAAATTTGGCTTTGCCACTAACTAGCTGTTTAACCATGAGCAAATCCTTTGAATTCTCTGGAGTTTGGTTTTCCTGTCAATAAAATGAAGAAACTGGACTAGACAATAACTTTGAATCCTTCCTTTGAGACTTGTAGTACCCTAGTTTATTGGATATTAACCACTCACTTATTATAGGTGGGTCAGTTCACCTAGGATTCCTCCACCAATAGTCTATCACTTAGGAAATATGTCTTAGAGTGTCGCCCAGAGCTCGGAGTGGTTAAAAGCCTATTCCATGGTCACACAGTTAGTAAGGATAAGTTGGCAGGGTTTGAGGGGAAGACACCTCAAGTCAACGCTGTCTATTATGACACAGTGCCTTGCCTCCTAACAACCTGGGAGATTGAGACAATCTGGGAAAGAAATATCAGTTGCACTGGGGTGGGGAAATGTAATGAATTGCCCTATAGGTATTACTAGAAAAGCCTTCATTCATTTGGGCCCTTTGGGGAGCTGTTCCTAGCAAGTGAGGTTTAATTTTCTGCATAAGTGAACCTTTATGCATTATGTGTACAAGCATATATTCAGAAAGACTGAAAAGAGAGTTCCAGTCAATTTGATTTTTAAATTGCCAAATATAGTTGGCAGAACATCTTTATGTATCTTTAAGATGCTTAGCTTATAAACTTAACTCTTGTGTGATTATATTTAAGAAATTTCTAGAATGACTTTATAAAGACAAAGCAAAAAAGCTTTGTTATTTGAAGACAATAGAAAGGACAGTGTGGAATAGAAGGAGCCCTGGGCTTGGAGTTGTCTGAAGACCTGGTTTCCAGTTTGGACTCTGTCACTTAGCTTTATGACATTGTGCTGGGTTTTTAACCTCTCTTAGCCTCTCAGTTTCCTCGTCTATAACCTGATATTGATGCTTTCTTAACCTTTCAGTACATTGGACAACTGGTTTGCATAAGGGGAGGATGCTTCTACATTGGTAGTTCTATATGCCAATGAAATCCCCTCCCCACCAAAAAAACCTCCTGATCCTTATATTACCCTACATCTGAGTTTGACTACTAATAGTAACTCACATTCCTACAGAGCTCTAAGGTTTGTAAAATATTTTCTTCATAGCATCCCTATGGAGGAAGTAGGGCAAATATCACCCCATTTTATAGATGAGAAACCTGGGGCCCAGTGAAGTGATTTTTTTCATATAGTCAGAGCTAGAATATGAACATAAATCTGCTGGTGCCAAATTTACACCACCCTGCCCCTCAAGCAAAGCACTTTTTAAGTCTTGAAACACTGTATGAATGTTAATGGTTAGTGTTACTGAACACAAAACAATTTTGCCTTTGGTCAACGTACAGAATCATGGCTGAATCATTGTTTCTTTCCCAAACCAATAGACAAGCTAGTTCATTTATTTAAGATTATATCTGCTTGAAACTCAAATAAATTTAACATCAAGGGTCTTAAAATGCATTTCTTTATTTTGAAAAAATAATATGGATACAACATATCTTGACACAACAGATAAAGCTTAATGAATACCTAAACAAATCCCTCTATAAAGAACTTTGGCAGTAAATAATTCATTTATTGATTATTCGAAGAATGGAGGGCTGTGAGTGGCCTTTAACTTTGGCGGTGAGGCACTAACATTCACCACTGTGTTTGATCAGAGTTGTCTGACCTCTCAATGCTGACTCTATTTACACTGTACTTCGTCCCTGAGAATGTCGTCCTTTTAGCTTTTGCTCCTCCACTCCGTATCGCTGCTTATGTGTTTGCATTGGGTGTTATCTTGACTGAGTATATGGTGACTGGGCTCTATTTCTGATGTTTTTTTCTGGTTTTCTTTAGGCAAAATAGGAATGGCAAACAGCAGCACCATGAACGAGGTCACTGACATGAATTGTGGTCGATCTGAAATAGAGGATCTAATGAAAGAGGTAGGTTAACAACTGGCCTTCTGAGCTCTTATTCTCTGAAAACCTTCTCTTTTTGGTCTCCCTGGAGTCTGGCTTCCGCAGTTATCCCTTCCACATCGCAACTTTCCCCCTTGAGGTTTCGATGTAATATGGCTCAGCATAAGAAATTAAACGGGAATTTTTTGGGAGTTTTGCGGAAGGTGTAGACAACGTGTGAAGGCCAGCAGACAACACAGAAAAGGTTTAGAAACTCAGAAATCCATAAAACACATGTATAATTTTGTAATTGTGTAGTATCAATATATTTTATCTTTTAATACAATAATTCAGACTTCTTCTTTGGTAGGAAGAGAGGGCCGAAAAATTTTACATGGGGCGGTAGGGTTGGGGGATTGGGAATGCTGTGCCCTAACACCTCCCCTCCCCCCAAAATGTGAAAGGAATAATTGTAGTGCCTTTGCAAAGATGATGCCTTGAACTCTATTAAGTTCAGCTCATTGGATGGTTGATTGTATTGGGTCAGGTAATAAGACTTGATGACATTTATATAGTGCCTTAAGGTTTGCAAAGCACTTCATATGCAATCTCTCATAATACCAATTCTTTATCTGTAAATTTAGGGGACTGGATGAGATGACATCTATGGTTGCTTTTGGTTCCAAATCCTGGGATCTCTTGGTCCAATAATCCTATGGCTTAGTGCCACTCTGACATACTTTGGGATCAGATTGTCCTTGTGTGATATTGTTAATATATCACCAATAGAATTCATTTTTATGAATAACAATTTTATAAATAAAAATTAAATAATAAAATAATTTTATGACTAAAATTAATTTGATTCCTAATTGGCAATTTTATTGACATTGGCATCTCATTTGTCATGGGACTTGGTGCTTTATATTTGATGTACTAATATAATGTTTATCTGAAGGACAGATTTCTAGTAGTCTCAACCATCCAAAGTATAACCAAGAAGCTAGAAATCAATGAAAAGGAGCTCTGAGCAATGAAAAGGCTACCCCACCCCTTTCACTTGACAGAGATGGGGAAAGAGTTTCTCTTTATCTGTAAAATAAGGAGTCTCAATGAGGTGATGTTTATCAATGCATCTAGCTTTAAACCCTAGGATACTCTGGTCCTGTAGTTCTCTGACTTTCTCATTAAGACTACAATAACAGCTCTTTCATTTGACAGATATGAGGAAGGACCTGTTCTACATAGATAAAATTTCAAATTTAGAAATTATAAAAATACTCATGGGATTTTGAGCCAGAAGGAACCTTAGGGGGTCACCTAGTCCAATCATAATCATCTCATTTTACCAGATTTGGAAATGGAGGCCTCAAGAGGTAAAAGTGGCTTTTCTTGAGGTCACACAGGTTGTAACAAGCAGAGCTGGGATTCAAACCCAAGTTCTCTGACCCCGAATCTAGGGTGCTTTCCACCACCTCATGACTTCTCTCTAAAATGGAGAATATCCTTCCTTAACTTTTTGAATTGATGACATTGAGGCCAATTGAACCTTTTCTCGTTGAAAAGGTCATCATTATGGGTATCACTTATTATGCCCTTAGGGACAATTGAAGTATATGAGCCTAGCTGCCTGTATACTGAATGCCTCAATCCTTCTCTTTCTGAAGTCTCATGTCTGCTTTTTATAGTTTTCCTGCTTTCCTCCCTTGCTGTTAGACAACAATAAAAAATAACAGCTGGTAGCCTATGTACCTGCCTCTGGTGACAACTCTTCTAATTTGTTGTATTTAATCTTTTGTGGTCTGAGAAACCAGCTGGCCAAGCTTATTAAAATTGTGTATAAACTGAAGGTAAATAGGCTATGATTGAGAGCCATGTGTAAGGTCCTCCTGCATGTGAAGTCTTTAATGCCTGGGTCTTTTCACTACTCAGAGCTCCTTTTCATTGATTTCTACTTTCTTGGCTGTATTTTAGATTGGTTGAAGCTATTGGAAGTTTGTCCTTCAGATAAGCATTGTACTAGTACACTGAAAATAACACACCAAGTCCCATGTCAAATGAGGTGCCAATGCCAATAAAATTGCCAATTACCAACAAAAAAATTTTAGGCATAAAATTATTTTATTGTTTGTTATTTAAATTTTAATCATAAAATTATTACTTACAAAATGAATTTTGTTGGTAATATATACAAATACTGTCACACAGAAACAGTCAAGATGACACAAATCTTAATATAGTCCAAATAGACCATAGCCTTTGGTAGATAAGGGCTATTGAAGGTTCTTGAAGGGCCTTTGTGTTAATTCCTAATTGCTTATATAGTGTAGATGGAAGGGTTCTCCCTAAATTTCCTGTTTTCTGTGTGCTGTTTTCCACTGAATTATCTCAGAGGGGAAGACAAGTTGATTGCCACATTAGAATCACAGGAAAATCAAGTTGCCAAATGTTTTGTAATCAGATTTGTGACTTAAATTTCAGAAGCAGGGCAGAAATCTAGAGCAGGTGTTCATAGTAGAAATAAAGGGTTTTTTTTTTGTTTTTTGTTTTTTTGGCAAGTTACAGAGAACTTTGCTTTTAATTTACTACTTATTGGAGACCATGCCATATGAGGGTTAGTTGGAAAACAAAACAAAACAAAACAGAAAACCATGGTTGTTTTGAATGGAAAAGAGAAGATAAGGATGATGTAATAGTTTTCTTCAATCAGTCAACAGTTATTAAACACCTACTATGTGCCAGGCACTGTGCTAATCACCAGGGATACAGAGACAGACACAAAATAGCCCCCACTCCCAAGGAACTCACAGTCTAATGGGGAGACAACATGTAAATAACTGTGTACAAACAGATAGAAACAGGATAAACTGGAGAAACTCGCAGCGGTATTTGTTAAGTACTTACTATGAGCCAAGCAGTGTTTGAAGGTTTGGTATGTGGAAGGGGCATTCATTAAATTTGTATTACTTAGCTTCAGATAAAAGAGCTAGGATCAATAAGTGGGAGTGGTGGAGACAGCTGCCGATCAATATAAGAAAAGCACTTCCTGACAATCGAGCTATCCCAAGGGAGGTGATGAGGTCCTCATCATTCAGAGTCTTTAATCGGGAAGCTGTGTGGGTGGGGGCATTGTACCTGCTGTCGTGCTTCTTGGACTGGATGACCTTCCAGCTCAGAGGTCCTGTGATTCCGGGTCCTTGGGCTACGTCTGTGGACAGACACCAAAGTAACTGATTAGTTTTAATCAACCAAGTACCTGCTATGTTCCAGATACTGTGCTAGGTCCTGGAGGTTCAAATACAAAGAATGAAACATTCCTTCTCAAATGAGCTTACACTGGAATGGGGAAGATACTAAGTACCGGGGGCAGCTAGGTGGTGCTGTGGATAGAGCCCCGGCCCTGGAGTCAGGAGGACCTGAGTTCAAATCCGACCTCAGGCAGATAACACTCACTAGCTTTGTGACCCTGGGCAAGTCACTTAACCCCAATTGACTCACCAAAAAAAAAAGATGCTAAGCACCCACAAAATACACACATACACACATACACACACACACTATCACAAAGACAATAAATACACATATAAGTGTTTATAACTAAATGCTTACGTATACACACATATGCAAAATAGTTAAATATGAAGTCGTTTGAAAGGGAGGGCATTTACATTTGAGAGGAGGGGTTAAGAAGGTAAGTCCCCTTCATTCATTATCCCTTCCAATATCTCGACATTATATCTCCTGTTGCCATGCCGTGCCTTTGTATCGGCTTTCCCTCACGCTCAGAATGCACTGCCTTCTCACCACTTGGTGAGCCTTCTTGGAATCTTCATCTTCCTCCATTCAGGTACCACTTGCTGTATGGAGCCTCTCCTGACGCCCATTGGTGTTCTCCCTATCTTCAAGCCATCTTGTATGATTATCTATTTACATGTTCTGCCTTCCAGTGAGACAGGAACTTTCTCCAAAATTATTTTTTTTGTCCTTATCTCCCCAGTGCCTGGTTTGACACCTTAAGTATTGTTGTTTGGTCATTTTAAGGGTGTTTGACAGTTCTTGACCCCATGTGGAGTTTTCTTGGCAAAGATGCTGGAGTGGTTTGCCATTTCCTTCTCCAATGGGTCCAGTGGATCCATTTTGTCAGGCAATCAGAGGTTAAGTGATTTGCCCATGGTCACACAGCAAGGAAGGGTCCGAGACTGGATTTGAACTCAGGTCTTCCTGATTCCAGCCCCAGTGCTGTATCTACTGAGCCACCTTGACTATAGTAGGTCCTTAAAATAAATGTTTGTGGAATTAAATTGACTTCTGTGGGAAAATTCATTATTGTTGTTTCATGGAATTGACTAATCAATTCTTCTAAAGTGGATCATCTGTTATGTCAGGGTAGAGAACTGCTTGGAGGTATCTTAAACTCAATATGCTGCAAACTGAACTCATCTTTCCCCCCAGACCCTGCCCTCCTCCAAGCTAATTTATTTCTGTCAAGGGCACCCCCATCATTCTAGGCTCTCAGGTTTGTAGCTTCAGCATTGTCCTTGACTCTCAACCCACATGTGCAATCAGTGCCTAGTTCTTGTTATTTCTATCTTCCCAATAGCTCACACGTCAGTTACACAGAAACTACCCAAGCTCAGGCTTCATTGCCTCTCCTAGATCATTGCAACAACCCATTAATTGGTCTTCCTGCCTCTAGAGTCTTTCCACTCTAGTCCAGTCTTCACCCTGCTGCCAAAGTAAACACAGATTTGACCACGACTCCCCTACTCGTAAACTCCAGTGGCTTCCTATTGCCTCTAGGAAAATGATATAATCTCTGTTGAACTTTGAAAGCCCTCCCTTATCTGGCTCCAACCTACCTTTCCAGCTTCATTAGCCATTACTTCCCCTCTTGCCCTCTGAGATCCCACCAAACCAATCTTGTTTCTGTCCCTTGCATACAACGCTCCAAGTCCCATCTCTATGCCTTTGTACTGGCTGATCCCTATGTCTGGAATATACTTCCTCTGTACCTTTAACTCACAGAGCTCTTCTCTTCCTTTAAGATTCAGATCAGTCACCATCTTCTGTATGGTGCCTTTCCTGATCTCAACTGGTTACCCTTTACCTTTTTTGTTGTTCAGTCATTTCAGTTGTGTCTGACTCTTTGTGACCCCATTTGGAGTTTTCTTGGCACAGAAACTGGAGCAGTTTGCCATTTCCTTCTCCAACTCATTTTATAGATGAGGAAACTGAGGAAAAAAGGATGAAGTGATTTGTCCAGGGTCACACAGCTAGTAAGTGTCTGAGGCCAGATTTGAACTTGGGTTGTACCGATTCCAAGTCCAACACTCTATTCACTGTGCCACCTATCTGCCCCTACCCTTTAACTATTTTGTATATATTTGTATTTATTCGTTTTATTCTTATGCTGTACATATTGTTATGCACACTTGCTGTCTTCCCCATTAGAATAGAAGCTCTTTGTGAGTACAGATTGTTTCACTTTTGTACTTGTATCCTAGGTGTTGGTTATAGTGCCTGGTACATAATAGGTGCTTGATAAATACTTGTTGCTTGATATCTCAGAAGTGGAGAAAAAAAGTTCCTCTTGAAAACCAATTGCTAAACATGACATAAAGACGTTAATTATCAAAGTCTTCACTGAGTTACAAATTGAAAGTTAAATAATGGTGCTTTCCTTCCTTCCTCCTCCACTTCCACTCCACCATGTTGGGCAGCCCTTGGTAGATGAATACCTTGGCATAATCAAAAGGAGTCCTTCGCCCCAAGAGGCCTGTAGAAACCAACCAATTCCAGAATGGTGGATACAGCAATCTAGTGCAGGTGAGAAATAATATTTGTTGTATTTGCTACGAGATAGTGGTTCTCAACTTTTTTTGCTCTTCAAAACCCTCTTAACCACAAAAAGAAAATGGTGAACTCAGGGTAATTTAACACACTATAGTTACTTATTGCTCGAGGTGCTGTTGAAGAATTTTTAGTGCAAATCCTTTAGACCATCAGAATAAACTAGTAAATGGGAACTGCTGCTAAACTGTCTTTTGTTCTCCACAACATTCCGGAGAACATGCCATAACTTCTTGACTTCATTTGCTATTATAGTAGGAGAAAACATTTAAGGAAACTCTGATCATACCTGTGCTGCTAATGGGCAGGTGGCAGCCTTTCCCCTGTGAATGTGAGAGTGAATATTCAACTACCCCTACCCCTATTTTTCAAGGCAAGAGCCAGGTTTGAAAGCTTCGTATGTAATTTCAAAAAGGATGCTGACAGACATTATAGTGGCATTGAATGGTGTCAAGTGGACATGTGGATGTCTGGGGTGGGTAGAGGGGGACATGTGTGGTGAGATAGGGGGTAGAGAACCACTCTACCTCTTCAGTATAACTACATACAAAGAAAATCCTTACATTAGTCTTAGAGAATCATCCCTACTGAATTGCGTATTGGGGAAAATACATGGACAATGGACAAAGGTAGGTGGTTTCTGAATTCTTGAATGCAGGGGATAAGGTCATAGGGATTGAGAGGTAAGGGGGTTAAGAACAGCTGAACAGTCATATTCTTTAAGGGCTTGCCAAGATACTTGAGCACATCTAAAGAATCCCTCCCCACTGAACAGAGGAAGTATAAACCTCTATTCTAGTTTGGGTGAGACTTCGGTTTTCTGCTCTTATGAAACCATGAGTCTATGTTATGGCTGGGAGGAACACTCAGAATTCAGCGGAAGTCTATACTGTGAAAATTTTAAAGAAAACTTTTTTGTATTTTTTTTTTGGGGGAGAGGGAAGAATGTGTTGTCTGAACTTCTCTTGTATGGCTCTAAATTTATTTTTTTCTCCTTCTAATATTCTAATAGCCATACCCTTGATGACTGGGTACCCTGCTTATGAATCTCACCATTCAGGTAAAGTAGCAGATGGGCTGATTGTGTTAGTTGCCATGTCAGAGTCCTCTACTAAAGCTTTTCTCTCATACTTCTTCTTGGCCCAGTGTTGCCTAGAAATACTCCAAGGTTGTTTCCAAGGAATGTGTGGTGTTGTGACCTTTCAATCTGGAAAAGGCTTTCCGTATGAGCTTACCGTTGCTTAGCTTAGCTAGACCATGACCAACCGTTGGTAGAAAGTCTTGAGCCTTATACTTTTTTCCCCTTACGTGGTTATGTGGAAGCCTCCTAACCCGTATGGTCCTTTCTTAACTCTTGTGAGTTAACAAAACATCGTGTTGAAAAAAAAGTCTGGAAAGCAGATTAAGTTCCTTAAAGAAAAATGATTTAGAGCAAGAGGGTCTGTGAACTTAGAAAAAAATTTACATCTCTATTTCAAAAACCTCTAATTGAATTTTAGCATTTTTTTCAATTATTATTAAAAAAACCAAACTTCTTTTGAGAAGAGGTCCACAGTATTCTCCAAACTGCGAAAGGTGTCCATGACACCTACATGGTTAAGAACTCCTGGACTAGAGGCTAGTTAATATTGATTTCTCTATAACAGTTTTCTTTGATCATGCGTTGAGTGCCTCTATGAGTTGTTCAGTCTTTTTTAGTAGGGTCTGATCCTTCGGGACCCCATTTGGGGTTTTCTTGGCAAGGATACTAGAGTGGTTTTGCCATTTCCTTCTCCAGCTCATTTTACAGATGAAGAAACTGAGGCAAACAGGGTGAAGTGACTTGCCCAGTTTGGAGTTCATGGCTCTACCCTTCAATCAGAGGACTTTCCAAGGCACTCTTGTTAAACTCCTTCCTTTGACAAAGAAGGAGACTGAAGGAATGGGAGGTAGTTTTGTATTGAACTGTGCACAAACTGTTACCGAGTTCTTTGTGTAATCCTGGCTGACCGCCTGTGAGTTGGATCAAGTCTGGAGACCCTTTTCTCAACGCAGAGCTAATTGATTTATATGGTTAGTTGGTCAATAAGCATTTTGTTAGGTGGTTTGCGTCATTAGGTGCATTGTCATTAGTGCTGTGTTCAAAACAGCTAAGCTAATGGACTCCAATTTTCCTTCTTAGTCAGCTGACATTAACTTCTTTAGGGCCATGAAAACTGCTTTGCATAATGTGGGCTAGTGGAGTGTGATTTAAAAAATTCCCTTCAGCCTAGAGAGATGCACCAAATAGTATGTGTCCAGTCCTATAGAGGGACTGAATAGGTCAGTTGCGCATGTATAGGATGGGGGAGGTATGGCTAGACAACAATTTGTGTAGGAAAAGATTTGGAGGTTTGAGTGGAACCTTAATAATATTAAGATTATTATTAATAGAATTAGTATTAATTCTATTAACAATTGAGTATAATATTAAATTAATGCCATTAGTCAGTATGACACGTATGGCTTCATTAAAAGAACCCTAATATACAGAGAGCTAGGTCTGCTTAGATAACATCCAGAATATCATTTTCCGTTCTGGTTTCCCTATTTTAGGAGGGATATTGATGAATGAGGGCAGCTAGCTGGTGCAGTGGATAGAGCACCGGGCTTGGAATTAGGAAGACTCATCCTCAAATGTGTAAATTTCAACCACATCAATTTTGCCCAGGGTTCAAGAGATGGATGATATGGGGAAAAGACCACTTCCTTCCCCTCCCCAGTCCCCCAAACTGGATTTGGGATTGGAGAACTTGAGATTGAAATTCTTATTCTGTCTGTGGTCCAGGCCAATTCCTTCATCTCTTTGTGCCTCAGTTTTCTCATTGGTCAAATTAGCAGTTTGTACTGTTCAGGTATGGGTTGGATTAGATAGCCTCCAAAGACCCTTCTAACCCTAAAACGGAGTGGCTCTGCTCTCTATGGTCCTTGCTCATTCCACCTCTCTAGGCCATCTACAGGCTCATGGTGTTTGTTTCTCCTTTTTCCACAGCTTACTCCCAGATGATGATCAATTTTTATTACGGAGGCAAGCTAGTGGGCCACACCACCACCACTTACCCTGAGGGTTGCCGGATCTCCCTGAGCCTACCACCTCAGCACCTCGAGAAGATGTATGGCCCTGAAAGCTTGGAGCACATTCACTTCCCACCGGCAGATATCATCCAAAATGACCGTCAGAAGCAGGTCACCAAGAAACTGTTTGGCCACCTGGATCGAGGAGTCCTGTTACACAGCAACAAAAATGGCATCTTCATCAAGAGATTGTGCCAGGGGAGAGTCTTCTGCAGTGGGAACTCCATGATGTATAAGGACAGGCCCAACAAATTGGAACGAGATGAAGTGGTCAAGATTTTTGACACAAACCAGTTCTTCAGGGGTATGTATAAGGCTTAGTCTTACTCCTTGAACTTGAAATAGTGCCACCATCTTGTACCATTGAAATTTTAAGGGCTAAGTGGCATAGAGCTATGGTGTAGGGCCATAGGGAGATACAGACAGATGGGAATACTGGGTTCCAACCCACATTTCCATAGGGCTTACAAAGCACTTTCCTCCCAGTTCCCCCATGAGGTGAGTAATGCAAGTAACATTCAGCAAGTCAACAAGCATTTATGAAGCACCAGTCACGGTGCTTGGTTTTCAAAGAAGGAGATATGACCAACCCAGGGTCACATAACAAGTCAGATGAAAAGCAGAGATTTCCTGGCTCCCCATCCAGTGTTCTTTCTATTACACTACAACCACTCAGACTCTATGTAGTCTTTCACATCTGTTACCTTATTGGCCCTTCTCGAGAATCCTGTGAGATAACACAGGGTAGGTGTTTTTATTCCCATTTTATAGATGAGGAAAAGGAGACCTAGAAAGGAGAGAAGTGACTTGACTAAGGTCATACTGATCACACGTGGCAGAGATGGGTCTTGAACCTAGGTCTGTTGTTTAGTCGTGTCCTACTCTTAGTGGCCCCATTTGTTTTTTTTTTTTTTGGCAAAGACACTGGGCTTGTTTGCACATTTCCTTTTCTAGCTCATTGTACAGATGAGGAAAATGAGGCAAACAGGGTTAAACGACTTTGCCCAGATCATACAGCTAGTAAGTGTTTGAGGCCAGCTTTGAACTCTGGTCCTTCTGACTCCAGGCCTGGTGCTCTATCCACTGCTCCACCTAGCTCTTAGGTCTACCCACTCCTAATTTGATATCCATTCTACTATACAATGCCTTTCTCCTGTGACATTCATCATGACCCTTTGACCATGAACCCTTCTTGTGGCTGGATTTGAAAGCTGAGAGTTCACGTTGTGTGTTCAAGATTCAATCCAAGTAAATCTTTTTTGACCTGCCATGCACTTAATTGACATGCTAAGTACTGTGAAGATGTCGAGAAATACAAGGGATTTAATAAGAAAATGATTCTTGCCCTCATGGAGCTTACAGTCTCTTGGGAGAAGATTAGAACATACATATATGTTTGAAAAAAAAAAGTGCCTGTAAGATAGTTACCTGCTATGGGGGCAGCTAGGTGGCACGGTGTATAGAGCACCAGCCCTGAAGTCAGGAGAACCTGAGTTCAAATCTAGCCTCGGACCAAACACTTGACACTTACTAGCTGTGTGACCCTGGGGAAGTCACTTAGCTCCAATTGCCTAAAAAAAAAAGATAGTACATGCTAAGCACTAGATGAGAGTTATGGATGATTACAAATGATATAGGAAGCATGGGGCAGTGGGAAGAATGTTGGATTTGGAATCAGGTACCCTGGGCTCTCACTTCCTGACTCCCAGACTTACTAGCTTTGTGACTTTGAGTAAGGTCACAAGCACTTCATTTCTCTTAGACTCAGTTTCCTCGTCTGTAATATTTTTGCACCAGATCTGTGATTTCTTCAGTGTGGTGTTCTTTTTTTTTTTTAGAACATTTTTCCCTGCCAATGCAAATTTGCCACTGTTTGCAACTTATGGTATGAAAGAGCTGCCTGAGACACTGAGAGGCTGGGGGCCTGGGGCCACGTGTCAGAGGTGGACTTGAGCCCATGTTGTTCTGACTTCATGGCTGTGTCTTTAACCCCTCTGCCTCTCCATCTGTCATATGGTGCTAATGAAACTTCCCTTGCTTACCTTACAGGGCTGTGCAGGGGGAAATGTGCTCTGTAAACAATAAAGGGCCATAGAAATGTAAATTATTATAAGGAATTCAGTGTGCACAATGGGTCGGTCATTCAGGAAACTTTTATAGAAGAGGTGAGATTTGAGCTGAACATTGAAGGATGGATAAGATTGAAATAGAGTAGAAGGGGAAGGGAATTCTCAGTATCACTGAGTGGGAGAGCACAAGGCTTGTTTGGGGGCTTGACTGGAGCAAGTCTGCAAGCATTTATTAAATGCCTGCTATGTGCCAGACATGAGGTTTTTATTTATTTATTTGTTTTAGGGGAATAGCTGGGGATAAGGCTGGAAGGTTTCCATAGGTTTCCCCATGACTTGAAACATTCAGGGTCATTGTACTGTTATTTTCTTCTCAATAACAGTCATAACTAGGAATTCTAGCTCCTGGACAAATTCAGTTTGTGGGAGAAAAGGGGGAAACAAAGACCCCAGGATACACCACGGTGAGTTAGTACTACCATCACTACTGGTCCCAGAGCTAATCCTGGGTGCCCTTCATGGCATAGATCCTTAGGACAGACCAAGTGCTGGGAATGTACCCTGGACAGATGCAGTTGTGCCAGGATGGCAGCTGAGGTGGAGGGAGGGAGACCAGGTGATGGGTATGCCATTAACAAGACTCTTGGGGAGCAGAGTGGTGGTCTGGGGCTACTAAGAGTGAGGATATACTTCCTTCTGTGGCTGTGGAAGTCATCGATTGCAATATCGACCTCAGGGGTGGGGCAGGAGGCAGGGAGGACTCACCCTCTTTGCCCATGCCTTGAAATGTCCCTTTTTGCTTTTTGGACAGAACTGCAGCAGTTTTACAACAACCAAAGTCAGCTACCTGACAGTAGAGTGATGCTATGCTTCGGTGAGGAGTTCCCCGACATGGCTCCATTGCGCTCCAAACTCATCCTTGTTCAGGTGAGGAACAGTCCAGTCCGTCCTTAGCTAAGCATGCTTTCGAATTCTGTGGTGAATGGATGTTCTGACTGAATGAGTTAACGTATTTTGGCAAAGCACTTTGCAAACTTTAAAGTGTTACATAAATTCTGGCCATTATTTTGGATTTAACCTCCAATTCCTTGCTTAACTCCAGGTGGAGCAGCTCTATGTACGGCAGCTGAGGGATGAGGCCGGAAAAAACTGCAGCAATGCCCTCATGCTCCAGCCTCCAGAGGATATAGCCCAGCCCGATCAGGTCTTCAGATTCCAGGATATCTGTGGACCCCACCAAAGGCCCTTTTTTAGAGAAAATCAACAGATCACCGTCTAGAGAGCCCTTGTGCCCCTCCTTCATCCCACTGGGCCCCACCTCTTACCCCATTTCCCATCACTGTAGTATTAATAATATTGTTCTAGGCATTTTTTTTGGAGGGGGGATTCTGTGGGGAATTCATTTGGGGGGAACTATTCTGATCAGGTTCTTTATAAACCAAGGGTCTGAAAAGGTGAAGTATGAAAGAGGCATGGGTCATCTCTCTAACTATTCATTGATGCATTTTGGTAACTGGGACAGGACTGTCCTGATTTGTAGAAATTGTAGAGACAATCTGCTATTTTCTGCATTTGGTCTGATTGTCATTTGCACTGATTTTTTTTTCCTTCTGCATCTTGAGATTACTGATATTTCCAGTGTTTAGACATTGCTGTACAAATATTCACTGTTGGTAGCCCAACTACTTCAGCGGAAAGAGCAATGCACTTGGTCAGGAAGACCTGAATTAAAACCCTGCCTCAGATACTTACTAACTCTGTGACCCTGGGTGGGGGACGTGACCTCTCTCAGCCTCAATTTCCTTGTCTGTCAAATGGGGCTAGGATAGCACCCACCTCACATTGTTGTGAGGTTCACAGGAGATGACAAGCTATGTAGTTTGCAAGCTATGTAGATGCCAATGTTCAAGCTCTTTGTAAACTCTGATTAGTATTACCAGCGAGCAGCTGAGGAGATGCTTTGGTGAATGGCAGCCACCAGTAGCTAAGCTGTCTTCATCCTTTTATTTCAGTTCCATTGAAGAAATAAGCATTCATGAAGTGCCTCTTAGGGGTAAGGTGCCATGCTAGGCTCTGGGAATACCCAAAAACATTGCAGTAAGTCAGAATGGGCCCTGCCTTCAATGAGTTTACACTCTCCACTAGTTAAAACTGTAGGCTTGCTGTGGCTGGCTGCCCTTGCTGATTTCTGGATTGAAGTGCCTTGTTATTTTTAAAGCATTTTTAGAGGGATTTTGGATTTTTCAGACACTACCCCTGCCACGACAAAAGATTGTTGGAGCTGCGGTAGAAAGTGAGTCTGACCCAGCATTAGAAAAGACATGGATTCTAATGTCAGCTCTAGGTTTTGCCCCAACCAGCTGCATGCCATTAGACAACTTACTTCCCTTCATTTCTTTGTCTTTGAAATGAAAACATTGGTGAATGAGATGACATTTGAAGGGCTCTTTTCACTCTCCCATTCAGTGTCCTGAGGACCCTATCTAGCTATAAAAGGTTATCTCTAGCTCTGTTGTTCATAGATTTAAAATTTAAAGGGAACTTTCAGGTCATCTATTCCAATCTTCTCTTTTTACAGATGAAGAGGCAGGGCCAGGGAAGCCAAATAACTCGCCTGAGGTCACATGGATAATATGATAAAGGTGGTGCCGTAGTGGATAGAGTGCCAGGCCTGGAGTTCAAATCCAGCCTTCAACACATAGTAATTGTTTGACCTTAGGCAAGTCACTTTACCTCGTTTGCCTTAGTTTCCTCATCTGTAAAATAATCTGGAGAAGGAAATGGCAAACCACTCCAATATCTCTGCCACCCCAAATGGGGTCACAAAGAGTCAGATACGACTCAGATGATGCCGCAATAGTATTGAAGTCTGTCCTCTGCTTCCAAATCCTGCCTTACCCTATATTGCTGTTCTTTGGTCTAAGGCTTCCCAGTCCTAAAATTCTATGTTCCAACATCCCCTTCAACTCTTGATATCTTGGGATTCTGCAAATCGTTTTTGGCCTTTCCCAGCCAGTCAACAGTGTTCACCAGTCACTGGTACTTCTTGTTCATTCCCCCCAGCCTCTAGCAATAAATATGCAGTGGGGCCAGGTGATGTCTCTCTCAGGTCATGCAGTGGGCACTCCTGCCACACAGTATGCCTGGGTCAGTAAACCTTCTTGTCCCAGAGTCCAAGATAGATTCACTTTATAACAAATTCTATCCTATAGCAAACAGTGGCCTAATTAAAAGGGGGTCAATCCCATTTTAATGAATACAGTTTGGAAGTCATCATGCCAGTTCTCACTGAAGAGTTTATAATCTAATTAGAGAAGAAAAAAAATATACACATGAGTCAGAAAGAACATGAGATTTAGAGTGGGGAAATCTTGGTTCAAGTGTTGTCTCTGTTTCTTACTTGTGTTATTTCAGGGAAATCACTTCCCCTTTCTTTCATTTCTAGGGTCCTTATTCTAAATCCTGTAATTCTAAGAAGTAATTCTAGTGCCTACTATACTTTTGGTTCAGCACTGGGGAAACTGGTGCTTTCATTATCTGGATGTGAAGTCCTTGGCACTACCCTTGCCCTAACTACATTAAAAACAGGGGCAGAGGGGATATATGCTGACTTTTTCTCTACCACCTTCACTTAGGTTCTGAGTGAAGGGTAGGACAGGGGCTGGTGAGGTGCACAATGCCTTTCTTTGACATTTTCAGCCCTTTTTTAAATTCTCATCATCTTGTCTGGTTTCAGGAACTAGGAACAGACCCTTGGGATACATATATGTATATATGCTTTTGTATGTGTGTAAATAATAGCTATAAAAACACACACTTATATCAGCAAGGTTATTTACAGATCATAGTTAAATTGAGGCAATTATTGGGTGGTCATGGTGAACATTATAGGGAGGTTCTGATTTAAAATTTGAATAACCAAAGAGAAATAATTCACTTATTTTCTACTGTCATATTTTATGGGAGTGATGGGAAAATATTCTGGGGCTTAAGGAGCAAGAGTAAGATGTATATTTCTGTGTGTATATGTATATAAAGGAATATACCATTAGCAAAGGCTTTGTAACTCTTGAAAATTAGATTTTAACAGTAAAAAAAAATCAAACCTATTTTAAAAGTCTGATGTAAAGTAATAGCAGGTTCTAATCTGTGTTCTTTTCAGCTAAAAAAAATGAATGTTGAAATGTACATCTTTAATGTGCTAAATGAATATTTATTTTTATGTCCATTTAAAAAATTAGCTTGATTCCCTCTTCCCCTCACTCTGGCCTTGCAAATAAAATGTTATATTTTGTATTGCTTTGGCCTTCTATCTTTTTTGGGTAATTATTTGTGTTTTTTAAAAAATGTAATTTCTACCACATTCTGGGGACTTTGTAGGTCAAATTAAAAAAAAAACCCAAACCTGCCAATCTCTAAACCCTTATTAAGGAGGATTAAAAAAAATCTTTCCATCCATCTCTTCACACAGTGGTAGAATAGAAGGAGAATGACTCTGGAGTTAGAAAACTTGCCTTCAAATCCCCACTCATATTTGTTAGCTGTGGGACTTTCTTCTTTTTTGGGGGAAGGTTTGGGTCATTTATTTACCTTTTGCATTCAGAAAACTGGGAGGAAACAGGAATGAAATAAAGCCAGTTTTATAGAATAGAATTGGGAAAATAATATTTGCATTTTCAACCTCACTGGTGGTGAATTAAATTCTCTCTTTTTTCCCTTTCCCTCTCCCGGCTCTCTGCTTCCTCTTCTCTCTCTCTCTCTCTCTCTCTCTCTGTCTCTCTCTCTCTCTCTCTCTCTCTCTCTCCCTCCTGCGCTCCACATATACTCATATACATCTATATGTACATTTAACCAGCTTTTGAGGCAGATCTCTGCAGGCAGGGATAAGTGTTCTGTACCTTGGCTATGGAAGATGTCATCTCAGACAAATGACATTTATTTCCCTCCTTGGGAGGGACTGAAACTATCTTGAGCTCTGAGCCAGTCAGGGGCTCAAGCAGTGGCACAGAGATCTATCTGTCAGGAATTTTGGGACTGACATAAATCACTAAATACTTATAGAAATACTAGGAGCCAAGCACCGGGGATTCAGGTGCAAAGAGTGAAACAGTATTGAACTGCAAGAGGCTTATACACTATTGAGGGAGAAAAGAAGTGCATATAAAAAGAGACACTGCAAAAAATATAAAATGAATACATACAAATACACACAAAGTAGTTAAATATAAGGTAGCTTGGGAGGGAGGGCACTAGTAGTTGGGGGGCATTGGGGAAGACAATGGTGCCTGACCTGCATGGTAAAGGAAGGGAGGGACCTTTCTGAAAGTGGGGAGGGAATGCATTGTGGGTACATGGGCCAGCCAGTGCAGAGGCTGGGATAGAGGGGATGAAGTACTGTGTGTGAGGTACACAAAGAAAGGCACTTTGGCTGGATTGGAGGGCAGGAGGGGGGCATTGCAAGCCTCTGGAGTTGATTGAGTAGGAGAGTTCCATGGCCAGTTATGTGTTTAAGGAAAATGATCTTAGCAGCAGTATACAGAATGGACTATAGTAGAGAGAGACTTGGGGCAGGGAGACAAATTAGCAAGTTGTTGCAATAATATTGGGAAGAAGAGAGGTGAGGAGGACCTGAATCAAAGAGGTTACTGTGTGAGTAGAGAGAAGGGGTCAGATGCAAAAGATATTTTGAAGGTTGGAATGGTGAACTTTGGCAACTGATTGGAAATGTAAAATGAGGAAGAGTGAGGAATGGAGTCTAATGCCACAGTTATAAACTTGGACAGCTGGAAGGATGTTGGTGCCTTCAATAGCAACCTTAAGCACCAGAAATGTAGGGAATTTGGAAGAGGGGAGGATTGAGACAAAAGATAATGAGCCCAAACTTTGGTAGACTCATCTCTTCTTAGCAATGCAAGGATCCAAGACAACTCTAAACAAGTCTAAAGGACTCATGATGGAAAATGCTATCCACATCCAGAAAAAGAGCTGTGGAGTCTGAATGCAGATAGAAGCATAGTATTTGCTCTCTCTCTCTCGTTTCTTCATTTCTTCTTTTTCGTGGTTTCTCCCATTGGTTGCAATTCATTACAACATAACTAATGTGAAAATAGGTTCAATATGAATGTATATGTAGAGCCTATATCATTTCATGTCATCTTGGGGTGGGCGGAGGGTAGAGATGGGGAGAAAATTTGGAACTCAAAATCTTATGGAAGTGAATGTTGAAAACTAAAAATAAATAAATTTTAAAAAAAGATAGTGAGTCAATTCTAGACACATTGAATTTAAGATGTGTCTTCAGGAAATACACTTTGAAATGTCTGAAGCCAGTTGATGATGATGGTGATAATGATGTAGGAATGAAACCCAGAGGAGAGCCGGGATTATATATTAGGATAAATTAGGTCTGGTAGTCATTTGCCTAGTGATGCAGAGTGATGGGAGTTGAAACTGTAGAAGCAAGCCACAGTTGAAGGGATTGCTGGATGCAGCAGCCACAGTTGTGATATGCTGTTGTGAGGAAATGGAATGTTAGAGCCAGAGACTGGAGACTGTGCAGCTGAGAGCTGAGGTGCAGCAGCCTGTGGGTCAGCTGACTGAGACCTGGGTGGGGTGGCTGTCTCTGCTTTCAGTTAAGAGGCCAGAATGGGCTTGCATAGGGAGGAAGTGTTTGGGAACTGGGTAGGTCAGCAGAAATCTTGGTGGAGGGGTTTGAAGACTTTCCATTTGGAAAAACAGGTACTAGACCATAAAGTATGGTCTCCTCTTCCTTTCCTGCCCTCCTTAGAAAAGCTACTTTTATAATTTCAGTTTAAATGATTTAAATTTCTTTTTCCTGCTAAATAAATCCTATTAATCTAACTGCTGTAGATCTTTGTATTGCCTTAATTGTCAACAGGTGGCTGCAGCAGGAGGGAAGAGTGTTTGGGTTATGGTAGACAGAGATACAGAAAGGACTAAGGTTTGAGTCCTGGTCCAAAAGTACCAAGCTTTTTCTTGCCTCAGGGCTGATTCAGATTGAGAGAGAGAATACCATAGTCTTGTTTTCTTAGTTATTTTATTTAATTTTTTTGGATGTACTTCCCAAAAGCTAGGCTAAAACCAGATCCAGGATTTTCCTTCCATTGTCCTATGTTAAAAATGAGTCAGAATACATTTTGGTATCTGGGAAAATGCTAGGATGTGGGGACATGGGATGTGCCTTCTTTTCCTTCCTCTACACTGTTTTCTGCAGAAGGGGAGTAAAACTCAGTTGCTAGAGAGTCAAGTCAATAAGCATTTCTTAAGCACTTACTATATGCCAGGCATTGGGCTAAGCACTGGAGATAAAGAAAGGCAAGAACCAGTCCTTGCCCTCATGTAGTTCACAATCTAATGGGAGGAGAAAAGGTATGATTAGAACTGACCATATTCCAAAGGTGGAGAACAGAGAAGAGAGTAAATACGCTTCATTTTTTGGCTTTACTTTTTACTTCAAACATATTCTCACACAGCTACAAATAGCAGTGACAGTCAAAACAATGTCTTCTGAAGCAGTCTCAGTTGTTTTATATAAACCTGTTTGAATAACTTAGTAATCGGTGGTCACAACCCCCCTTTGAAGTTTGGGCTTCGAAACCAAATGGCCAAAGGGCTCTTTTTATTTCCTCAAGAGCAGAGAAAGGAAGAAACACATGCTGGCTTACCTGTAATGAATAGTAGATTCATCTTATCTCAGCCTGATGGAT